CAATTACATTTTAAAAATATTTAATTTTTCATTCTTAGTATATAAATGTATGTTTCATATAATATTAAAACATATATTTGTCGTTAAAAATGCATATAACATTCAAATTTGAGGCAATAAAATAATAATCTTTGCAACCGTACATTTATCGACGAAATAAAATTGGGCGGTGATACCCGACATTCATGTGAGCTGGACTACCCGAAATCCAACTTTTTTGTATATTTGTAATTACTCGAACAATTTTTTACATACAAGCTTCTTTCTTTGTGCAAATTAAACTTAAGACTACATACTTTAATGCTGTATGTATAGAAAAAATTATTTTTTTAGTATTGAAATGAAGTTGAATCGAAACATTCAACCAATTTTTCATAATTTCATGACTACTGTATTCAACATATCTTCAAAACTATTGTTTACCATGTTACCAGCTGCATAAATACTTGAAACTTTGAAAACAATCTTTTTTTAATGTAACAATTAATGTCCGATGGCCCATTAACTTGAAAAAATATTCTATACATATGAAATTGACAGTGGGCGGGGGTACCCGCTGGGCGGGGCTACCCGACTCTCCCCTACATCTCTCTCATTTCTCCTGCCTCATCAGTTTTGAAACTATGCTCAAAAATGAGTATATGCTGTTACATGGAGTTTTTGGATTTAACTAGCAAAGTTAACCTCCTGAAATGACCACCTCTGGGTAGCGACCTCCTCTATTAACGACCACTTTTAGAAGGCACGGAAATTTTATTATAGACTTTGTATTGAAGAAACCCTTTGGGAGAGACCATCAAATCTCCACCAGTTACCGAGCAAATATCTGCACCAAATGTGGAAAAGATCAAATAAGAAATATTAACAAAACAGATGAGTAATTAAAAAATATTAACAAAACAGTTAAAATGTATTGAAAATATTTGGGAGTGTCTCTTATTTAGGGAGTTCTTTTTGAAGATCTCTGAAAGAGAATTAAAACCTCGTGATGCAGTCAGAGTGCACTAACGACGATCATATCAATGATTTATTTTCAGAGTTGAAAGTTAAATTTAAAAAAAAGTTTATTTTAGGAAAAACTTAGCATCGCAAACAAACAAACTTCTCACTTTTAAAAGTTAACTAATTTTTTGTATGTAAAATTAAAGGCAAACTTAAACAAAAAACATAATTGTTTATTTATTTACAATGGTTCTATCAATCACAATTGGTAAATTTGTTTTCATACACAATTTAAACAGTAAAGGTCATTTTTACTGACGCCAAATTTTATTTATCTATACGGTTTTCATGGCGCCAACACAAGTGACATTTCTGAACCAAGAAAACGACACTGTGTAAAATAAAAATAGCTTGCGAATAATCATGTACCTTCCATATTTTTGAAGGCAATGAATTTGACCCCTAAAAACGACCAACCTTCATTTTACTGATGAAACGGGAAAGCGTTAAATCTCTCTAATGAAAAAAGTCATTCCGATTTGTAAAAGTTTCAGGTGATTGTTGGGTTTCTTTTTCCCCTGGTCTGTAGTATAGGTAAAACAGAGGCTCATTAAAAGAAGGACGCATTAGTGTCTATCTTAAAAAAACAACGTTTGTCTTTTAAAATGTTTATGTTGTTTAATGCATCAAATCAAACAGTCCTTAATGCACTACACGTAACAGCTTAAAACAAATAATTTTCAACTTGACTTTTTTTGTCGTTCTCTAAATGGCTTCCGGACTTCCACCAAAGCATTTTAATCAACTTAGACTTTAAACAGCTAAAAATAACTTTTGAACTAAACTTTCTCGATAAGGAGACTTTTATTTCGATTTTATTCTCCGGTAAAGATTAAAGGTCAGTTTCACTTTTATCCCCCTTTCCGCTTTTGATTCGAAAAAACACTCTTTAATTCCAATGATTGTTGAATCACCTAATATCTTTTTTCGGTGAAAAGAATTAGGAGTAAACGAATGCTTTTGAGCGAAAATCCAAGCTTATCTTTGAAAGTTTTGCACTATTATCTTCTAAACATTGTGTTTCTTTAACATTGAAGAGTTTTTCTCTTTTTTATGTTGAAATTAAACTTCAGCGGAAAAGGGATTTTGTTCGCTTAATTATTTCTTTTTTTAAATTTGAGTCAATACTTTTGAGTTGCCATAATAAAGAAAATAGTATCTTTTTTTAATAGTTATTAAAAATATATTATTAATATTGATTTAATATTACATCATATAATAATACATATTTTATTAACTATTATTTGAATAATGCATAATAAAAAATTTAATGCTATATCTTTTACTAATACGTGTTTTGCCAACTATTTATTTAATAATACATGAAGAAAGGCAACTAATGAAGTATTTTCATAAAAATCTTTCATTAACCTCTTCGGGATGGGGAGTCATCAATGCAATCGTACAGAATTTTAATCAGGATGGAAAAAAATAAAAAGCGGTAGCTTAAATGTTGGCATGACTAATTTAAGAGACTTTCACATTAATTTTAATACATCTAATGAATGTTAGTTCAAAGTGTAACTATATAATTTTTATTTCGAACTAAGTAGTGGTCATTTAAATATATCAAACAACACCCACTCCACCTACAAATATACTGATAAAAATAGTTTATATTAGTACTAAAAGAATACAAAAACTTTTTAATTCTAAGCTGACGAAAGCAAACCAAATGAAAAGGAAACGCTTGAAACAAGTGAAAACAACGCCCTCTATTAAAATGTATATTAGTTTACATTAGCTTATAGTATATATATATAAATTTTATTAATCTAAAAAAGATAAAAATTGACATAAAAGATAAAAATTTTATTATAATTATCTTTACCCACGATTATTTGCTTAAAATTTGTAAACTTCCAAGTAAAAAATAATGGCTCAAACAATTGCTTACAATGTGCATCTCTAAAAACAGAAATCATTTTGTTTTGTCCATTTTTATTTATTTATTTCTCGTTAAAATAACAACCTTTTTAATGAGCAACTAAATAAATACATATCTACTGTCAATGTTTTCTTCCATCAGTCAAAGTTTCAAGAATCGTTAGTACAGCCAGATTTTCAAGAATCGGAATAATCCATTTTGTTAGCGAAGGTCTTTAAGTTACCATGTAGTTAAGCAAATTGGTAGAAACCACTGTTTTTGCCGAATTTCGAAGAAAACGATATTCTTATTACGAAGATCTTAAGTTACCATGGAGTTAAGCTAATTTGTAGAATCCACTGTTTTTGCCGAATTCGGAAGAAAACATGTATTCTTATTACGCTTAGTTTTGAATTTAATTGTTTGCTTTAAATTTTGTATCCCAACATGAAAAATAATGTCAGGTTTCCAGGAAAAAAATTTATTCCAGATACTTAAATAACAACAAATGCGTAGAGATTTATTTTTTTGATAAGAGACCTTTTTTCCAAGGAATTGTTTTGTATTCTTGCCATTGTTGTTCATGGAAAAAATCTACAGCAAAGCCTTTTTACCACGAACCATTAAGGGAACCTTTTTACCATGAAAATCCACATTTAAATTGGGCAGTGATAAAGAAAGCCGCGTAATTTGATACCACAATAAATGCGGCTTTTATTAAATTATTGTAGTTTTCGTATAGTTTTATCACAATAATGAATTATATAGAAATGACACAAAAATAGCATTAAGTCTTTTATTAAAATAAAAATTTATAATACTTTTCTATTCACGCATGGATAATAACTTATTATAACATTAATATTTAGCATTTTTTTTACTAAATAACAACGCATATTTAAATATTATTTCAACTAAAAATAATAAAGTAGAAATATTGTTCATTAAATACTTCTTGTTGAGATTCACCTTCTAAATTAAAATTTATGTTCTTTATGACGCGAAAGGGTTTAATTGCTTTTTTCAAAGTAGTCAAAAACTCTATTTGTACAATAAATACACCCTTTTACCAATACACCATTTAAGTAAAGAAATAATTTCAACATTAAATATCTCTTCATGTACTTTTTCTCTCTTACAATTTGACATGATGGAAGAAAAAGAATGTCAAATATTATTTTTGCGAAAGCGTGTATTTAATAAAATAAAAAATACAATATACCGTGCAATAGTAAAATATCAGAATTAGTAAAACAAAAACTAGATTTTTCTCAATGTACTTCATTTAATTTTCTTCTCTTACAATTTGGCATGATGAAGAAAAACGAATGTTAAATATTATCTTTAAGAAAACGTGTATTTAATAAAAATACAACAAAACTGTGCAATATTAAAAAACCAGAATTAGTAAAGCAAAAACTGGATTTTTTATAAACTTATTTATTCATATAATTTTCCTCTCTTGCAATTTGACATGATGGAGAAAAACGAATGTCAAATATTATCTTTAAGAAAGCGGGTAAATAAGAAAAATAAAATAAAACGGTGCCATAGTAAAATCAGGATTAGTAAGACAAAAACTAGATTATTCCCAACGTATTTCTTCATATAATTTTCTTCTCTTACATTTTTATTTTATAACCGTCGTTGAACAGTCGACCCAAACAGTCGATTGGTATACGACTACTAATGTTCAACTCCGTAGGCTTGTAATTTTGAACCCAATCCGGAAGACAAGGGAACTCCTGGATCCAGTATTGGGAGAAATTTGCCTTCGTGGAGGACATTTTAGATGAAGCTAACCCGCATTTGCGTTACATGGAGAGGAAGACCACAAGAACCACCCACGGTTAGCCTGAAGGCAAGGAGACTCTAACCCATAATCCGTCTTCCACTGAGGATATTTCATGTCAGCACTGTGGTCGGTGCAAGCCGGATGCGGAATTCGTATCGACTGGGATTCGAACCCGGTTCGCCTCATTGGAAGGCGAACACTCTATCCCCTGAGCCATCGCGGCTCTTCTCTTACAATAAGAAAGAGTATATTTAATGCTTGTAAGCTTGTATATTAGTCACATAGCCCCTTTGTAAGTATTTTTCAACTTAAGAATTCTGTTATTTCATTTTCTAGCTGTTTATGATAGACAACTGTGCCGATGATTGGAGGATTGCCATGACTCCTCACAGAATATCGCTTATTTTTCTGGAGTTGGCCATCTGCGCCGTCCATCCCATTCCTGGGGAATACTACTTCACGTGGACCACGAAACTGGCCAATCAGAACGGCATAATCGAATCCAGAAAGGTGCCTATTGATGTCACTCTGTCCTTACCCATGTTCCTACGCCTGTATCTCATTTGCAGGGTGATGCTCCTGCACAGTAAACTTTTTACAGATGCCTCATCTAGAAGTATTGGAGCCCTAAACAGAATCAATTTCAACACTAGGTTTGTCCTCAAGACACTGATGACCATATGTCCTGGAACTGTCCTCTTAGTCTTCATGGTCTCCTTATGGATCATAGCTTCATGGACTTTAAGATTATGTGAAAGGTAAGCACTCTTCCTTACTTCAATTGCTCCTTCTTAATTAAATTACTCCTTTTTACTTCTTGCACAAAAAGTTATTCTTTACATCTTTAGCATGATTACAGATGACTATCAAGATTGTTTTTAAAAACATTGTTTAAAATTTTTATTGGTAAAATATCCGTCAAAATTTCACTGGAAGCCATAACTTTCTGCTAATTTTTTTTTACCAAATTTGAAGCTCATGGTTTCTCTAAATTATAGCGTTCGATATAGCATTTTTTTTTTTGTAGTTTTGGCAATTATAATATTTTTGTAGTTTTGGCAATTTTGTATTTGGCAATTTAAACTATTACTTGACGTACTCATGTTTTAAAAGTTGTTTAATATTTAAAAGTTATATCTTGAAATTTCAGACATGACAAATTTCATTTAACATGAGGTTTTCGAAAACATTAGAAATCTTCTTACAGCGCCACCTCGCGAAAAACAGTGGAACTGGTATTTATGACTGGAAAACGTAGCAAGATAGGGAAAAGAGTGGATTAGAGCATCATCAATTTAGTATAATAAGAAAACTTATGGCTAAAAAAGCAAAAATGCATCTTTTTTCTGATATTTTCTAACTGCTGCGGAGACAAAACAATTGTAGAAAGAAACAAACAACTAGTTTTCATAAGATACTCTAATTTTTTTTTTTTTTTGCACTAATTTCCTTTATTTGTTTGTTTGCACAAAGCTTATCTTGTGATAACTAGCAGTTTTTGTTTTCTAAGTTTGTTTGTCACAACACAGTATAGGAGATATCGAGCAAGCAAATACGACTTTTAATTGTTTTTTCCTTTGTATTAATGTCTTCTAAATGTCCATTCGATAAAAACAGGAGATTCCCTAGAGCTTTGTAATTCATTTTTTCTTTGCTATCTTGTACCGTTTTCAAGATAAGAACACTAATTCCTCAGTTTTTTACCAAATGGTGCTGTAGGATGCCTTATCGAGTGATACCTAACCACTTAACTATACATAGATATCCCTTTTGTAACTTTAGTGAAATTCCTTCGAAAGTTATTAGGCTAAACGCAGATTTTAGTAAATAACTTTAATAAAGTTTTTTAAGCTTAAAATGAACTCGGCTTTATTCTGTTAATTGAATAACTTATTTAATTTAATATTTTAAACTTCGCTTTTATTAATGCTATTAAAATTGTAAATCAACGATGTTTTATTTTTATCTTTCTTTTATTTTTATCTTATTTTATTTTTATCTATTTTTGATTTTTATCTATTTTTGATTTTTATCTAATTTTTATTTTTTTCCTATTTTAATTTTTTTTTATTTTAATTTGTAGCTATTTTTAGTTTTATCTGTTTTTATTTTTTCCTATATAATTTGTTCTTTTTATACTTTTTTACAATTGGCCTAACAATTTAGTTCAAAAAAGGGAATAGGAACATGCCTCAGGGTAAGCGTTATAGAAAAACTAATAAGAGATTTATACATCGAATCCTTTTAAATAAAGGTTTGTATCAGTTTTATTATTTTATTTATTCAGAGGGTCCTATTCACTTCATTGTGACTAAAACGTAAGTAGAAAAATTTTCAGATCGTAGCCCAACTCAGAACTTCAAAACTGATTTCATCTGTCAGTTGACTCAATGTGAAATTATTTACTGAAGAACGTATATATTGGATGCATTGAACTTTTCTATATCTTCTTTTATAGGTAATATATCTTTTGAAAAGACTTATTCCTTTTCTTTTCTTTTATTTCATAAGGTTATATATTTTTTATCGGCACTATATACATATCTAGAAATATTAGTTGCATGTTCTTTGCACTTTTGAAATAAAATATTTAAGTTGTTAAACTTTTGTAAAACTGTTTCATGCTTTGGTAAAATTCTTGTTTTTTTTCTAAATAGCAATATTTTCAGACAAGAAATTAGAGTGATTTAGCTATAGATACAGGGTAATAATATATACAGCTATAAATACAGGGTAATAATATATACAGCTATAACTATCTAATGAAATAGAATTTATCGATGAAATTTACACAGAATATAGAAGGAACTGCAAAATTTTGAATACATCCGTCACATATTTTCTATGTGACTTCCCGTGGTCACATGGACAACATCTAGACGGTAGTTCATTTCATGCCAAACATTCTGAAGCATTTGTGCAGTCACCGACGCACAAAGAACTCAAAGAACGCATTGCAAATGCGTTCTTTGAGTTCTTCCTGGTTGGTGGGGAACGGGGCCCATGTCCAAGTAGTCGTGGGTTCAATCCCCGCCGGTTGAAAACTCCCCACATAGTAAATGGTGACTGTGCACGTTAGATCTGTGGAGTCGCAAAGTCCTCCATGTTCCCATCATAAATCATACCTTTGGGGGTACTGATCCAGAAGTTTAATTGTCTCCTGGATTGGTTCACAATTACAAGGCTACGAAGTTGAGCATTAGTAATCGTAAATCCAAAATTGGGTCGGCTGTTCAACGACGGTTATAAAAAAATGTTATGGGCATGGGAAGGATTCCCATATGCAGGTTCTTTATTGTAAAGCTGAAGAAATCCTGTCAGCACGGTGGTAACGTATGACAATTATTAAATTTTAACTTGCAGAATGCTTTCTGCACGGGATTCGCCATTTTCATGTATGAACTCGAGCATGCGCAGAATTCCGCATAACTGCGCATGCACCCTACGTAAAGAAATTTTGAAGTTCCATCTACCTTCTATGTCGATAATAGATAAATTATTTTTCTTTAATAGTTATAGCTGTTTGTACTCGCTATATATTTATTTTAAATTACCTTGTATTTTATATATAATAAATGTTTGTCAATGTATAAGTGTATCAATACAAGAACAACCAATGTCAACATTTTGAGAAGGAATTTGCTAAAATCGAAATATGCGGTTTTATCAGCAAGAGCAAAGATAAATTTTGAAATTAGGAACAGGAACTCACTTTCATCTAACTAATTATAAAATAGAATTTTAAAAAACTTCATTCCCAACATTTTTAAATTTTGACATTGGTTTCCTATTACTGCAATGATTGGAATATATAACTATTTGTGATTGCATGTTTTGAGGTAATTTGAAGGTTATTTTCTATATAAAGTTACTGCTTGAAAATGTATCACAGTATTTATGCCCAAATAGTTATTCATTGTTATCTTATCACATATTTCATTTTTTACACTATCGCAATACTCATTTTTGTATTGTTTGTTAATTCGTTTTCAGAAATTAGGAAGCGTAACATATGGTAACATAAATGTTTATGAATTATATATATATATATATATATATATATTCAGTGAGCATTTTAAAACAATTTACTTATTTTTTGACATTAATGTTTAAATAAACAATTCGTTCACAAATGCATTTCAGCCAAGCCATAATTAGCAAAATAATTTACCTTTATTATTATTAATTTTCAAGACGTGAACACAAACTCAAATAAAAGTTTTGTGAAGCATAATACTATTTATAAAAGTGAAGATTAAAAACTGTCCATTAGACCTCTTACGATATGTTTCAAGCACAACTTCTTAAGAAACATTTTTGTGTTAATAAAATACTCTATATTTCCAAAACATTAATAATGACACTTAATATGTGTTGCGTTCACAACTTTTTAAAACATCTTAATGAGAAAAAATTTATTAAGATTATGATTTTCAGTGTCAAATATTTTAACTTTTACATAAATAAAATTAGCAATTTTTGTCAAGGTGATTTGTTAAGTAAGTTGTTGATTCATTCAATTAAAGTGATCAATTCGTTTATTTTTTATTGTATACGTTTTTATTACTATTTTTAGAAAGTAAAAAATAGATATGAGTAGGAGCTACATTTTATCAAAATTGCTTTAAGAGGTTAATCAATTGCTTAGAAAAGACGTGCCACGAACGTCAAGATGCTTTTGTCACAAAACCGAAAACGACGTGCTGTGCAAGTCGCCAGGCAATAATCACAGAAATAAATAAAAAATACAGTTCGTAAAACAAAAATAGAAAAAAAGTCAGGAACACTTAACATCCTGCAGAGATTCGTAGTTGGTTGTTTTGGTAAACACATCTGCGAATTTTTAAAGTAGTTGAAAACTAACATAGAACTTTGGAATATTGGTTAAATTAAGTGTTAATTTTGTGTATCCAACGTACTGGATTTAAAACCAGAGGTCTTAATTAGCATTTTTATTTTCATATATCTGCGTTACAGAATTAACTACATCATATAATATTTTCATTAGTCTTATGATACTATAATTAGACAGATGGCATCTATTAGGGTCCAAAAGTTTGCAAAGATTATGTTTGTGCAAGTACAAGCTACAAGTTGAATGCTAAGATAGAGATTTAAGAATAAGCATAGAACTTTCAATTATTGAATGAATTATGGGTTAATTTCGTATATCCAACATAGATCCAACTAGATTTAAAACCAAAGGTCTTAATTAGCATTTTTATTTTCATATATCCGCGTTCCAGAATTAATTGCACCATATAATATTTTCATTAGTCTTATGATACTATAATTAGACAGATGGCATCTACTAGGATCAAAAAGTTTTAAGAGATTATGTTTGAACAAGTACAAGCTACAAGTTGAATGCTAAGATAGTGATTTAAGAATAAGCATATAACTTTCGATTATTGAATGAATTATGGGTAAATTTCGTATATCCAACATAGATCCAACTAGATTTAAAACCAAAGGTCTTAATTAGCATTTTTATTTTCATATATCCGCGTTCCAGAATTAATTGCACCATATAATCTTTTCATTAGTCTTATGATACTATAATTAGACAGATGGCATCTACTAGGGTCAAAAAGTTTGAAGAGATTATGTTTGTACAAGTACAAGCTACAAGTTGAATGCTAAGATAGTGATTTAAGAATAAGCATATAACTTTCGATTATTGAATGAATTATGGGTTAATATGGTGTATCCAACATAGATCCAACTAGATTTAAAACCAAAGGTCTTAGTTAGCATT